GGAACAGAATAGAGAGCCCAGAAATAAATTCATGCATATATGATCAATTAATTTATGACAAGGTAGGTAAGAATATAGAATGACGAAAGGACCATCTTTTCAATAACTGGTACTGGAAAAACGGGACAGCTACATGCAAAAATTAAAACAGACCACTGTCTTACACCATATACAAAAATAAACACAAAATGGATGAAAGACTTGAATGTAAGGCCTGAAATTTAAACTCCTAGAAGAAAACATAGGCAGTAAGATCTTTGACATATTTTTTTGGATCTGACTCCAAAGTCAAGGAAAACAAAAGCAAGAGTAAACAAGTGGGACTACATCAAACTAAAAAGCTACTGCACAGTGAAGGGAACCATCAGCACAATAAAAAAGTCATCTACTGATGGAAGAAGATATTTGCAAATCATATCCCTAATAGGGGTTAAAATCCAAAATACATAAAGAATTCATACAAGTCAATAACAAAAAACCCAGAAAATTTAAAACTGGTCAGAGGATCTGAATAGACATTTTCCAAAAACAAACAAACAAACAAACAAACAAACAAACCCATATAGATGCTCAATAAGTATATGAAGAATGCTTAACATTACTAATCGCCAGAGGACTGTAAATCAAAACCAGAATGAGATATCACTACACACCTGTCAGAATAACTATCACTAAATAAATAAATAAATAAATAAGTTTTGGCAAGGTAAAAAGAGAACTGTTGTGCACAGTTGATGGGAATGTAACTAGTGCACCACTATGAAAAACAGTATGGAGGTTCCTCTTAAAAACAGAACTACCATATGATCCAGTAATTCCACTATTGGGTATCTACGAAGAAAATCAAAGTATGAATTTGAAAAGATATATGCATGTTATGTTCATTGAAGCATTATTTGCAATAGCCGAGATATTGGAAACAACCTAAGGGCTCATTGATGGATCACCAGTTAAAGAGGCGATTACACACACACACACAGGAATACTACTCAGCCATAAAAAAGAATGAAAACTTGCCATTTGTGACAATATAGATGGATCTAGAGGGTATTAAGCTAAGTGAGATAAGTCAGTCAGACACAAGTACTGCATGCTTTCACTTTTATGTGGAATCTAAAAAACAAAACAAAATTAAAGCAAGACATCGATACAGAGAACAGACTGGTGGTTGCCAGAGGAGAGGAGGTTTGGGGGACAAATGAGTAAAGGGAAACAAGAAGTACAAACTTCCAATTATAAAATAAAAAACTCATGTGGATATAATGTACAGTTTGTGGAATACAGTCAATAATACTGTATTAACTTTGTATAGTAATGGATGGTAACTAGGCTTACTATGATTTTCATTTTGCAATGCAATACAATCAGAGAATCATTATGTTTTATACCTGAAATTAGTATTATATGTTAATCATACCTCAATTTAAAAAGGCATTATAAATTTAAAAAATACACCAAAACTCCAACTTGCCTCTGAGGAACCCAGGGCTCCTGGGACCACTGCTTTAAGGGCCTATTACTTTTGTTTTGGAGTTTAAGAGCCTGAAGTCTAAGAGATCATGGCCAGGAAACCCAGAGTCCTTTCTCACAGGCAGTATAAATTCCAGTGCTTCCTAGTGTCTATGAATATTTAAAAACAAATCATGAAATAAAACTAATTAAAATAAATAATTACAGGGGTGCCTGGGTGGCTCGGTGGGTTAAAGCCTCTGCCTTCAGCTCAGGTCATGAACTCAGAGTCCTGGGATTGGGCCCCGCATCGGGCTCTCTGCTCAGCAGAGAGCCTGCTTCCTCCTATCTCTCTGCCTGCCTCTCTGCCTACTTGTGATCTCTGTCTGTCAAATAAATAAATAAAATCTTAAAAAAAAATAATAATTACTTTAACATAAACTTAGCATGTTAATATATTCATATTAAGAGAAGTTTTCTCTTCCTAAGTGTTTTAGAGGATGGAAGAAGGAACAGGAGACAGGATACAGCATGAAGGTGGGGGAGAGTGGGGATGTCAGGGAATGATGGCAATCCATCAAAAACAGGACCAAGTAATGGTAACTAGAGGGCCCAAAGGGCCCAGTATGCTTCTTGATCTTGGTACTACTTGGTGCCAAGCCTGATTTACAAATGCTCCCTCTGAATGAAACATCTAATTCTGTGTGGAATTTAGATAGCCCATCCCAACACACTTTGTTTTCCACTAATTTTCCACTGAAGTAGACTTAGCTAGTAGGACACAGGGAAGATCTATTAGAAGGCTCTGGAAAGGATTTTCTTCCTTGGTAAAAAGATAAAGCCCCTTAAGGAGAAAGTTTTTTGTTCTTGTTTTCATCTTACAAGGATGAAAGAGACATTTTCCTGACATACCCAAGATGGCACAGCTGGGGCCTACATCAACCTGAGTGGCTGTACCAACCCGAACCACCTCCTCCTAGACTTGTTTTGAAAGAGTAGTACCCTTTCTAATTTAAGTCATGGCTAGTAGGACAACCTGTTTCTTATAGCAAGTTCACCTTCATTGGCATAGAGGGGCATCAGCTAAAAGGTAAAAAATCTGAAGAAGCTTCTGAAAGAGTGGTGTGGAAGTTGAAACCTGATGGATAACTAGGATTTAATCAGATGATGAAGTAGAGAGGGAGGAGGAAAAGGAAGGAAGTTTTCCACCAGAGGGACTGGCTCGCACAAAGTTACTGAGGAGAGACAGCATGGTACGTTTCATAAAATGAAAGAAGTTGAGGGTGGAGATACCAGGAGGAGATAGGTGGTGAAGGTCTCATTGTGGCATTTAGATTCTATTTTGGGGGGCTTTGGAAATCATTGAAGGGTTATAAGAGGGAAGTGACATAATCAGTTTTGCATGTAAAAATATTACCCTGGTGAATGTACCAGAAGGAGGCAAGGGTGAACATAGGGAGTCTAACTGGAGGTTATGCTCATAGCCTAACATTAGGAGACAATGCTGACTGGGGGTTGGTGATGGAAGATGGGGAGCAGTAGACAAACTTGAGAGATATTAAGGTAATAGGATAGTAAAACTTAGCATTTGATTGTGGGGTATGAAGAGAGAAATCAAAGATGGGTGTCCAGATTTTTTGGCTTGGGCCACTGGGTGAGGAGTGGTCCACTGACAGAGAATATGGAAAGAAGGGTGAGTTTTGGGCTGTGAAATAAGCTCAGTTTGGGACACATGGACTCTGGGGTGGAACAAGGAAGTTGAATGCATGAATCTGACAGGATTGAAATTGGAACACGACATGTAGATGGTCATTGCATGAGTCATCACGTGTAAAGTCATCAAAGTTACGAAAGCAGATGAGTTTGTCTCTGGGGGAGAGGCTGAGAAGTGGAACAACGTAGTGGGCAAGAGTAGAGGGGAGCTCCGGCGCCAGACTGTTCATTTGGAATCTGGGTTTCTCTCCTCACGAGATTATATGACTTTGGACACATCACTTAACCTTTCTGAGCTTCAGTATTATCTGTAAAACGTGAATACTGCGAGTACCCCCTTCATGGAATTGTTGTGAAGATGAAAGAAACTAGTAATTACTAAAGCACTCTGAAAAGATCTCAGTCATACCAATGGTAGTAGTAAGAGTGTTCAGGGGACACTTATGGACCAGACACAGTGCCTAGGGCCTACAAAGTCTTCTAATTTCTTTTAAAATCAGGAGATAAGGGATATTGAGGCTTAATAAAATGTTTTAATGTACGATATGATTTTTTTATATTAATACGGTTGTAAACTATCACTTTTAATGCTTTTTTATGGAGGAAGGAGCCAACAAAGACTGAAGTGGCTAATGACATGGAAGTCAAAATGCAGACCCGTGGGAGGGTAGTAGGGGACAGAACCCCAAAAATCATACTTTGGGGGATTGGGAGAGGAAGGGGGGGCAGGAGGCAGAGGAGAGTCTGTGGGGAAGTCTGAGAAGGCCTGGCTGCAATGCCAGGGGAAACTAGGAGGGAGCCCTGCTTTGGAAGCCAGGTGCAGGGAGGCCGCTAGAAGGACACACTGTGTCCAGTGCTGACAAGGGGGTCAGGTTGGAAGGGGACTGTAAAGTATCCAGAGGATTTAGTGACAAGGATCGTGGTGCTCTTGGTAAGAACGGTCTCAGTGGTGACAAATTGTAGTTTCTGAGGAGCGGATTGAAGGTAAGGAATTGGTCGGGGCTGCTGCAGACCTCTCTCTCGGAATGTTTGGCTCAGAAGAGGGGGCTCTTCAGATGGGGGCACGAGCTAGCTTACTCTGTGTCAGTACAAGTCTCTGGTTCCCAGATAGGGGCAGAATTATTTCCAGTTATGATAAGGTGGGCTAGAGGTTCTTGGCACCTTAGAGCTTCGGAGGGACAAGTCCAGAGGAGACAGCGCTTGCCTAGAAGTCTGTAGACTAGCTGAGTGATGAAGATGAGAGCCCAGGCTAGACAGATTCACCCAGGGTCTCTGTCATACCCCTCCAGTCCTTCCGACTCCAGTTCTACATGTGTCTTCCAACTCTAAATGTGCGTGTCTCCTAAGGAAATCCAGCCAGTTGGATTACTTGTTCCATTACTTGTTTCAGTGGGTCTCCCACAACTTTTGTTCTCTCTATTTTTTTAAAAGATTTTATTTATTTATTTGACAGATAGAGATCACAAGTAGGCAGAGAGGCAGGCAGAGAGAGAGGAGGGGGGAAGTAGGCTCCCTGCTGAGCAGAGAGCCCAATGCGGGGCTCGATCTCAGGACCCTGAGATCATGACCTGAGCCGACGGCAGAGGCTTTAACTCACTGAGCCACCCAGGCGCCCCTTTTGTTCTCTTTTTAAAATGAAAAGAAATGGATATACCATATATTAGAGATGACCCCTGCCCCACTGCTGCCCCCATGCAACATTAGCTCAGTCCTGGGGCCCATTGGGAAATACCACTGGACAGCATCTGTAGCTCTCTGACTCCAGAGAGGAAGGTCCTTTAATACATTACAGCCCTGGCCAATTACGTAGACTGTTTACCAAGAGTATCTGACTGTGTTTGTCCAGTGTGGCTTGCTGTGTGGAGGGGTCCTCCATGGTCATATGATGGCTGCTCAGAAGTACATCTTCCAAAAGCAGCTGCATGCCCACCAGCTCTCCATGGGCTACCTTGAGGTCAAGCTCACTCAGCCCACAGAGGCACAGCTAGAAACAAAAAAGAACAAAACAAAACACCCATGTTAAAGATTTCTATGTATCCTTTATACATGATTTTGGGGAGAAAACTAGAAATAATTATATTTATAAGCCCTGCCCTCTTGATTATTAGAAAATCCATAAAAATCTTAGAGTAACATTTCTAGCTCAAAGTTCTCCTTGAATATATCAGACTTTCAGCTTTGTATGGAAGCCCAAGGTTCCCAGCACTTTACTGTGGTATCTATACATGGTGAATGTATAGTATGATATCCATTTTCCTTGAAAAGTACAGATACAAACACAGGTATGCAAAAGAAAAATACCGGAAAAAAATAAACCAATATGTAAACTGTGATTGCTTCCTAGTGGGGGACTATAATTGATTTTCTTAACCATTCTTAATACTTTACTTTAAAAAATCCAAACAGTTATAAACAAAAGCAAACAGTATAGTTCCCATCTCCCGGCCCCCAAAACCATCAGCCTATGGCCAGGCCTGCCCCTATCACCACCACTACCCACTTCCATATTACTTTGGAGCAAATTTATGGTTGATTTTCACTTTTTTCTTAGTACTTTTCTATATTTTCTATTTTTTAAAAATGAGAACACAATGATATTTGCTTAGGTAATTAGGGGGGAAACACATAATTGAAAGAAATTCTCCTATGGATCCCGCTTAAAGAATTCTCTCCCTACCATTGTTTATAGGTAGGCCAGGATCCTGGTCACACAACCCTGAACTTCCAGCCTGGCTGTTTCTCTAAGAGGCCTGGAGAGTGATTGGAGATGGATGGCCACTCTCCCTGATCTTTACTGGCCATGGGAACTACAGCTGAATCTACAACTGAGGCCCATTCCACCAAGAAAATGATTCTCTTCTTGTCATAAGAAAACATGACTCACATGAAGCTGGGTTTATAGCTTCATAATCAAACACCCCTGCTTATCTCATAAATCATTCACCACTGACCTATGGACCCAAGGACGCCTGCTTTGCAGTCTACATTCATTTCTCTCTATGACAAGTGGGAAGACCTAGCCTACCTGCATATTATATTCTAGGGTATCTGGTCTGCTACTCATAACTGGAAACAGTCCTCCATCTTCCAGAAATGCTCTCCAAGGGAATAGCACGGATGCCTAAAAGAACCAAATAAGAAACATGATAATGGTATACTGTGTCTATAAATAATAATCATCTTGTATGAGCAGGATTTCTGTGTCTGTACTCCAAAACACTGTGGGATGATTTATTTACTATGTAGAAATAGTCTTGATAGAAGGTCCTTCATAATGTAGAGGAGAGAATAATCATCCTTTTTTTTCCCTCCAGAATATGGCTAAACATAGAAGGGTTCTTAAGACTTCAGTGTAACTAGTTAGTACCAGTGTTTGGAATTTCCAGAATACTATAAAAACAAAGGGACATATTTATATTCAACAAACATAAACTTAAATGTTCTCAATATTAGGAACTTTAATAATGAACTCAATATTAGGAACTTTCCTTCATCATCACTGTGTTCCAGTTCTAGGTAACAACTCAAAGCCAAAGTCACGATATTAACATGTGGACTTCTGTCTTCTCCATGTCACTGTCCAATAGCCAAGATGTCCTCTACTACTTGTGGCAGCACATGCAGCCCTGGACATAATTGACCTGTCCATCTGACCCCATTCTATAGTTGCACACTTGGAACTGGCTTCAGACAATTTTTAGAGTTAGACTTGATTCAGGTAGCAGGAAACCAGGACACTTGCATCTATCTAATCCCAGCCAACATCCAAAGGCAATAGGAACAGGCCCAGGGGTCATGGTCAATCCTGTCCTCTAGGACTAAATGAGGGTCAAGGCTTGGGCCAAGAATAATTGTCTTGTTGCTAGGGAAGATAAAATTGTGGGACTTACATAGGGTTGATATTGGCATTACTTGGCTTAGCTTTGCAATATATAAACACTAGGTTGGAGCTTTTGGAGTCAGAAGACCTGGGTTTGTGAGGTGGTTTTAAATATATGTCCAAAACTTCTTTGATACTCTTCCCCATAAAGAGGTAGAGTTTAAGTCTTCTCCCCTTGAGTGTAGGCTAAAATTAACTCATTTCTAGTGAATGAAATATGGCAAAAAAGATGGGATGTCCCTTCTAAAATGAGGTAATAAAAAGGCTATGACTTCCACCTTGGGGTCTGTCTCTTGTTCTCTCTTGAATTGTTTGGTCTGGAGGAATCCATCTGTCATGTTGTGAGGAAGCCCTGTGGACAAGCCTACATGAACGAGCTTGCAAGTGGATCTTCTGATGCCTACCAACAGCCCTGTGAGTGGGCTTGGAAGCAGATTCTCCTCCAGTAGACCCCTGAGATGACGACAGCTGGGCCAATACCTTAATTGCTGACTGGTGAGAAATCCACACGACTAACCAGAACTACACAATAAACTGTTCCCAGATTCCTGAGCCTCACAAACTACATGAGATGATGAACATTTATTGTTTTAGTCTGCTAAATTTGGGGGGTGATTTGTTACACTGTCATAGATAACCAATACAATTTGTGACCTCGGGCTGCCACAACTCCCCAGCAGTCTGATCTCTGGTCTGCCAGAACCTTAACCTTTTAGTCGTAGAAAGAGGGTAATATTGTTGGTGCCTAAATAATGGTTGCTAGGATTACATTTGATAACACCTGTTGTAACCAGGGCTGTTCAAACCTCAGCTGCTGACCTAATTTATGTATTGTGATTGCTGTCATCCTTATTTATTAAATTGAAAAGATCAACTGTTGGTTTTGCTACCAGCTGTGAACAGATAAGCTATTGACCCAATTCACCTGATGAACAGTTTGGGGGCAAAGACTCTGACTGGGAATAACAGTGGGCCCCGGCTGCTCTCCCGAGTCAATTAAGGGGAGCCAAGCAAGGATAAAGAGTCCCAGAGAAGGGCGAGTCCCGGCAAAATTTAAACCAAATGGAAACACAGTGCCCAAATCCCTGATGTATAACACACCATTTATATGTATAAAAGTACCTCTCGACATACCTGGAGGCTCCGTGGATCCAGTGGCTGGGGCAGGCTGAGCTGTGAAGCAAAAATGCTCTTCACAAGAGAGCTGCTCAGCGGGGGCAATCCGTGGTACATGCCATCTGTGACAGACTGGTAGGCAGGAGCGTTTCCCGAGGCCAAGAATGTTCTTCTACCCAAACATGGAGGGAATCTCATTAAAAGCTATTATTTAAGCTTCTCAAACTCAAAACTTTCTTCAAAGTTACTGCAGCAGGATAAAACTTTGAGATATACACAGGTTTCTTCCTCAACGACCTCACCCTTCTTTCTTTACACGTTGCCCTTCACTCACAATTCACAGCCTTCAAGGGAAAGGCAGACACACTCCAGACTAGCATTATCCAGTAGAACTTAAAGCAGTGTGGAAATGTTCTAAGTTTGACTGTCCAGTATGGTAACCACTAGTTATGTGTGGCTGTTGCTCACTCGAAATGTGGCTACTGGGACTGAGGAATTGAATTTTAAATTTTTCATCGTCTAAATCAATATTAATTTAAACTTTTCAATTAAGTAGCCACATGTGACTACTGCTGCAGACAGGTCAGCTGTAGCTCTAGAACAAAGATATGGATTGCTGAATTGACTGTTTTAAGACCAATAGCAGAGATGATTCTTGGTATGTAAAACCAAATTTTAAATTAAATAATAAAATCTTGAGGTTTGAAAGAGGAAGCTTTTTGTTTTGTTTTGAACAGAACTTGGCTTTGCATATCAAGAACCAAAAAGCCTGAAGACTGGTGTATGAAATTTATACCATAAGTTGTAGAGAAGGAAGTATGTGTGAAAAATTACAATGATTTTTTTTTTTTTTTTTGGCCAAAAGGAAATAAGAGTTTAGTAAGCAAGGAAAGACTGTTTTTAGAACTTACATCTAGTGGATACCTTAAAAAATATGCTGATACCGGATTTACCAAGGAGATGGTATCCCAAAACAGAGGGGACCTTTTGCCTGGATCTTCCATGGGCTTGGCCCAAGTCTTGCATAAAGCAGACATCAGAAAGAGGTGATTAACCATGACTGATGGAAATGAGGGAAATGATAGCACTGAGGGAAATGAGGCAGCCTCCCAGAGACGAGCAGACAATCAGAGTGTTGGGGAAAGACCTCGGGAGTGCCTGAGCCCCTACTGGAGAGTGTGTATGTGGAGTGCTGAGCATCAGGTCAATCAGAAGCGATCTGGGGTTGGACCAGATAACCCACAATGGGTAGGTGAGGTAGCCGTTCCTTCCCAACTGCTATGATGATTTATAAGCACCCCAGGAACGTACATCATGGTGTAAGGCCTAAAATTAAGGTCCAATATTATGTGCTACCTTCACCCCTGGTAAAATCAGGAAGGTCTTGAATGCCTTAATCACAAGTTCCCCTTTCCACTCTGCTCCCACAGATAAAGTCTTCTAGTCCAGGAACCTTCCATATCAAAGGGATCCATGTGCAGTCCCTGCTTGTCCCTAGTAGTGGCTTCAGTTCCTTGCCAGACCACGAAATCATTCAATTGAACCAATCACATTCTCCTGCAGAAATGAGGGGACATCACACCCTCTTGATACCACACAGCTTGTCTCCCATGGTCGCTGGTTTTTCACTCTGTTCCCAAGGGCAACTCCCCTGGGGCTTTGCATTGTACAGTGTCCTCTTCCCTGGGCTGTGAGTGTATGTAACTAGTAAACTGCCGTTGATCTCACCTGTCCAGTTTAAGTGTCATGTGTTTGGCCATCCCTGTAACCCCAGGACAGAACCCCTCCCTTACCAACAGGGTGAATAGGAGGCAATTAAAACAAAGGGAAATGGGGATTCATTCATCTTGCATTAATTAATTTTAAATCTCAGACTGACCACTTTTAAGCTCTACATGCGGCTGAATGACATGGAATTAGAAAGTTTAATCTTTTAGCCATCAGCAGGAGAGGCTTGTGAACTTTAGTTCAAAGACAGATAAAGGGAGCGCTATATTTTTACATCAAACCATTGTACTGGTACAAAAATCATACCACCTTTTCACATTTTAATGAGAATTAACAAAAAATAGTTGAATATTATTTTATACTGAGAGACTAGATAAAATAATTGGTTTATCTGCCGAGTTCAAAGATGGAGTCTGGAGTTGCTCAATGAGGACACTTTCTCCCATTCTTCATATGTTCACGTGTTTTCTAATGATTCTCAGTGGGTCCTGCCAAGGACGCATCATTCACTTGATACCCATGTGACAGCAATGTATCAAGCACCTACTACCTACAAAGCAAAGTGCAGGAACTGTCCAAGGTACAAAAACAGGTTTGACCTTCCTGCCTGATAGCAGCCCAGTGAGGCAGAGCTCATTATCCAGCTGCTTCTGACCATCCTCTAAACTCCCGTGGTACTTTCTACACCCACACCTTTGTATAGATTGTATGGATCTCCTCAAAACAATGGTACCAGAAAGCAGAATATTTTAATAGAAACATTTCTTTTCAGCCCAAATCAAGAGCACATAAGCCCAGTATCCCGTACAACATCTCCCTGGTTGGCTCCTTTCATATCCGTCCTGCTCTTCTCTCCCACCAATCCATCGGATGATTCCTATCATTCCTGTGCTTTCTCTCACCTTCTGGGTCTGGCTTTGTTCACATCGGATTTGTTCAATCCTTGACTATAGTGCTTATATTTTATAATTTGTTTTCCATCTATTATGAATGTTTTGACATCTTTAAAGACCTTTCTGGCTAAGGAAGAGACTGCCCCTCTTTGGGCTAGCCGGTTCTTAGAGATAGCAAAGGACTGAGCAGGGAGCACAGCTTTCATATGTGAACCAACCAATCCAAAGCCATGGCTCTTCTCTCTGACCCTTGCATGGGGGAGGCACTATTCCTCTGCTTTATTCATCCCAGAGCTTAGTCAACAACTAGAGACCACCTCTACCACCCAAAGCCCACTGGAATGATTCAACCCAGCAGCTCTTAAACTCTTCACCCTGCCCTGCCTTGCCTTTCCAGGCTATGGCTCAGCACTCTCCTTGTTCCTGACCCACATAGACGCTTTCCCACGTGGCTGTGTGTGTCATGGCATACATCTGGTTTCTAGCACCTGTGAATATAATAAACTTTGTTTTTCCTGAGTCTTTTCTGTTCTCTTCTTGGGGCTATAACTGACTGACAACCATGGAGAAGAACACAGAACATGGACGTGCTCTCTTATCCTGGCAAGTTTGTGCAGAAATTTGTGACTACCAAGGGCCACAAACGAACACAATTTCTGACAGATCGAGAGCTCCAGACACAGCTTTGCATGCATATGAGGCCTATTACTTAACGGATGCTTGGAGACTAATCAGAAATATAATATGTTCAGGTGTATATGTGACTGTGAGTCCAAGCTATGGAATCATAGACTATACTAGGCTCTCTAGAGAGACCAGAGTCAAGCTACAGGCACCACTACTGCCCAAATCATTGGCTATTCTTTTCCCCACTTTAGTCCTTTCTCAGTCTAGATCACTGTCCTTTGTAAGACCCATCCCCCTTCTATCAATAGAATGTTTCTAATGTTCTGTGAAAAAAGGGGTCTCAAGATGATATCCAATATTTTTAGCACCAGACCCTCTTTTATTCCCCTCTCTCCACAGACCCCATATTTTGAAAGATTTTTCCACCAAACATCCATTAAACAGTTTCCTAACTGTAACCCAACACTGCATTAGCCTCCAGCCCTGCCTCTGAGCTGCAGGAAGAAATGAAGAAACATGATATAAAGGAAGGACTAGGGCTCTGGAATTGGACATACGGCACGGATGGAAGCTCTGTTGTGACAGGCTGTGTGACCCTGTGCAAGTTACACAACTTTTCTGAGTCTTTATTTCCTCATCTGTAAAAATGGGGAGAACGATTTCTATCCCACGGAGTTGGCACATGGTGGGAACTCAGCCAAAGCAAATGTCTTCTCTCCCTTATCTCAGTGCTTAGAATGCCAGCTTAAACAACAAAAAAAAGAAACTTGACATTTTGTTTACCTGCACGGCATTTGGGCAAAGGTATCTTTTTTACCATGCCTTTTGAAATACTGAAAACAGGTCGTGGGATCCTGTTGCAGCTCACTGAGACCCTTATTGGGGAAGCTCAGGCCTGCATCTTCTGGGAGGGTAGGTCTGATGAGCACAGCTAGCCGGCAGCACACAAGAAACAGGGAAACCCACTGAAACAAGAGGCCGGCTTGTTGCTTGGGTCAGGGTACACCTGCCAACCTAATAAAATACCAGAACAGATACATGGAATTCTGCAAATTGTCCTGCCACCCTCCAGCTGACTTACTACCAATAAGCAGTCAAGGGTTTCCTAACACACCATGCCTCCCGTGTGTGACAGAGCTACCCGGAGCGTGATCCCCGGCAAACCGGTTCAAATCACAGAGAGCGGGAAATTCATATGGCACATGCTAGAGTTTCTCCTGGGTGCAAGGATATAAAAAAGAAAACAAAAGACAAAACAACAACAAAAACACCTGCAAAATAGCCCTGAGGAGGCCCCTGGCAGAAGGTGTGGCTCTTGACTTCTCAGACACTGGGGACCAGGACCATGGTCATAAGCCAGGCCCAGCTCACAGGAGGGTTCCTCTGTATCTCAGAAGTCCCCAGATAACTCCAAAGCACACTTTAATGTCTGTGTTTAGAGATACTTAAGCTAGATGAGCATAAAGATTAATTTAAAAACGAAGGAAAAACCCACAAAGCTTTAAGAACCGAGAAGTTGTGTGGCTTTCTTTAGCGATCCCTTTCTGTGCTCCCAATTCAGGTTTCTGCAAAAGTTACTGGTACCTTCAGGGTATCTTCTTGAGTTTCTCCTTTTTTGCCCTCATCACTCCAAACATCAGCAACACGTTCAGATTAGTGGCACTTTCATGCCACGTGTTTTATTCTGTTCTACAGAGTTCCTTTAAAGGGACTTTTTAGGGGCACCTGGGTGGCTCAGCGGGTTGAGACTCTGCCTTCCGCTCAGGTAGTGGTCTCAGGGTCCTGGGATCTAGCCCTGCATCAGGCTCTCTGTTAACCAGGAACCTGCTTCCCCCTCTCTCTCTGCCTGCCTCTCTGTCTATTTGTGATCTCTGACTTTCAAATAAATACATAAAATCTAAAAAAAAAAAAAAAAAAGATTTAAGGATTTAAATAAATACATAAAATCTAAAAAAAAAAAAAAAAGATTTAAAGGGACTTTTTATTTTGTTTTGACTCCCTCCATTCCTGAATTACAAAGGAATCCAGACCTTTAAATCTGGAGGTAGCAAACTTTTTCTTAAAGGGTCAGATAGTAAATATTTCAGTTCTGTGGCTCATATGGTCTCTGTTGCAACTACTCAACTGTGTGTGAAAGCAGTCCAAGATAATCTATAAATGAATGGACATAACTGTGTTCCCAAAAACTTCATTTAAGGACACCGAGATTTGAATTCTGTATAATTTTCATGTGTCACAAAATAGTACTCTTTTCTTGAATTTTTCCCCCCAACATTTAAAGATATAAAATCTATCCTTAGGCCATAGGCCATACAAAAATCAGGCAGGGGTTTATGATAGAAGTTTGCCAAACAGACAAGATCGATTAGAACCACTGTACCCAAGCATTTACTTTCAACACAATGATTACTTCACCCGAAATTAAAGATAAGCTCACTTCTCAGGCATTTTTTGCATCAGCTAATAAATAACTCCTGAGGTTGGTGGACATGCCCAGAGGTGACAGGCCCTGGGCAATGTGGTTCCAGTGGTCTTGGAGGACAATACCACTTTCCACCAGGAGCTTGGTAGAGGGCAGGTTGACAGGGACAGAGTGAACTTTTGTGCTTAAAAACGTGCATCCAACAAAGGTAGTGATCTGAAGCGGCACCTGCACCCCAATGTTTACAGCAGCAGTGTCCACAATAGCCAAACTATGGAAAGAGCCCAGACGTCCGTCAACAGATGAATGGATAAAGAAGATGTGGAGTGCGTGCGCACGTGTGTACACGCGCGCGCATGCAGACACACACAGACACAGACACACACAGGAATATTATGCAGCCATCAAAAATGAAATCTTGCCATTTGCAACAACATGGATGGAACTAGAGGGTATTATGCTAAGCAAAATAAGTCAATCAGAGAAAGACAATTATCATATGAGCTCACTCATTCATGGAATTTAAGAAGCAACATATGATCTCACTCATATGTGGAATTTATGAAACAAGGAATTTCATAGAGAAAGTGAAAAAAAAATGAAACAAGATGAAACCATAGAGGAAGACAAACCATAAGAGACTCTTAATCTTAGGAAACAAACTGAGGGCTGCTGGAGGGGAGATGGGTGGAAGGATGGGGTAACTGGGTGATGGGCATTAAGGAGGGCATGTGATGTAATGATCACTGGGTATTATATAAGACTGATGAATCACAGACCTGTGCCCCTGCAAAAAATGATACATTATATGCTAATTAATTGAATTTAAATTTTAAAAATAATAAATAAATAAATAAATCAAATAAATAAGAAATGTGCATTTATCCTGCTCCCAGAGCTGATCTGTGCCACATATTAGCAGGAACCACATACTAGGTGATCACAGGGCCACTATCTTGATGACTTTGAGCTATGTCCTTCCTCACCTCCCCCCAGTCTATAGAAACACACTGCTCTCGTTCCAGGTAAAAGTACAGCTCTTCCTTTTCAAATTCTGGAAAAGCCTTCAGTTAACATAAGCAAAAAAGTTCCCTGGGGTCAACAGTCATATTCGCTCAGAGTTGGTGAACTCTGGGGAAGGGTGAGGGAACTTCCCCATACTTCCTGTCTCTTGATTATCTGAGGACTTTTTCTTGTTTGCAGGTTTTGCACTAACATCATCAAGCTGGATGACATTTATCTTTCCACTTCTCTTTTTCTCCTGTTTCCTGCCTTCTCTCCAGAGTCTATTTTTCTCTCCACACTGCTGTCTGGCATCCATCCTAATTCTGAAGCTTGGGAATCAAATGCATGCAGGTTCTAGTTCCAGTCTGTCACTTACTAACTGTGTGATTCCAGACACATACATACTCTGAAGAGTCCCGAAGGAAAAGGCTAGAGGAAATGCCATAAATGAGGAACTCATGGAGATCAACTGTCCTGAGTGGTTCCCTCTAAAGTCTTTTGAAAGGGCAGGAGGCAAGATGGGGGAGGAGAAAGATATACTGAATCTACTAAAACCAGATGTAGGGCAGAGCCCCCCCCCCCATTCCTGCAGGCTGAGTGTGCCAGGATAAAGAAAGCCCCTCAAAGGAATTCTTAGAGGAAGCAGACTAGTTCCCCTGGGAGAACAGTAACAAGCCGAACCCTCATAGCTGGAATCCAAGAAGAACATCCAGGGTATAGTTCTATTTCTTCATCCTATGTAAATTCTTCACAAATTCTGACTTGGGTTTGAGAGTCAGAGGGCTAATGAATGGCCGTCCCGACAATCTTTATATCCTCCCCGCTTGATGAGCTACAGCTCCGAAGGCTGTCAATGAAAAGAAACTGCATTAGTCTAATTTTTTGTTGTTGTTCTGCTGATTTCATTTGAATCCAGAGACCCCCTGATGCTCAGAGTAAAGAAGATGCAGAACAGAAAGAGAAAATAGAGTTCAGTTCAATCCCTATGTTTCCATGGTCTACGATGCCCATGCTAACGGTGGAAGGCAATTACAAGCCACAGGTAAGAGCGTAGCCTCCTGAGATCCCCTGATTGGCTAAATGCTTACATTGGGAATTAATCAAAGGAAGTTAATTGATTTTGACAATTTAAGAAGAAGCAGAGATGCTCAGGCCTGACCGCTTCCCTTCCCATACAAAACTTATTATTTACCCTAGAAACAGTGTGACTCTCAATGTAAACTCATTTTCTCATCAGTCACGGTTGATTAACCAAAGAGACTTTCTTTTTCGTATGGAGAGTACTTAATACCTACAATTTATTTATTTGAATTTACAAATTTAACTCAGCCAATTCCACGGGCTTTGCGAGTACAGTGAAAATTCTGTTCTTTGGAAAGGTAATTAAAGGCTGAAAAAAACAAACAAAACTCTTAGAATCATCTTCTGAAGTCTAAAAAATATTATTCCCCATTAAACAACCTGAACAGCGACAGCAGTGATTGTTATGCAAACTAACGTATTTAAATCACATTTAATAAAATCAAGACTATCATCATCTGATGAGAACACCTTCTACACAGCCTTTGCAATGGGGTACATTGGGTAGTCACAGTGTTCTGGATCAGGCTGTGGCTCCTGACTATTTTAGGCTCCTTACTCAGTCTTGCCAAGAGTGACCTCCCACGATGGTCACTCAGAGGTACTTGCCCCACACAATTAACTGGACAGGATGCACGCCCCGCCCTTACCGGATAAGGTGTCTCACTGCGGCGTCAAACTGCAAAAATATAACCTCCCTTCGAAGGAGGAGTGCCTGGGACACCTGGGTAGGGTCCTGGGGGCTCTGGAGGTTGTCAATCATTTTCTGCAGCTCCTGCAGCTCAGACCCTGGAAGACAGATGACATTTCAGTTAGCGATGGTGACATACAGGCTATGACAGCTAGCTTAATGAGCCATCGTTTCACCTCTGAAGCTTTTTTTTTTTTTTCCAGTAAGTATCAGAGGCACACTCTCCACTTTATTTTTTTTTTAATTTTATTTTTTATAAACATATAATATATTTTTATCCCCAGGGGTACAGGTCTGTGAATCTCCAGGTTTACACACTTCACAGCACTCACCATAGCACATACCCTCCCCAATGTCCATAATCCCACCCCCCCAACCCCCCTCCCTGAAGCTAACTTTTTACCTAAATGTATTTCTTTTGTTTGTGAGCATACTAAATATGTTTTGCAAGACCAGCAAAGTCTTCTGTTCTAGAGCCCAAGGTCTGACTTATCTTTCCTTCCTTCCTTCCTCCCTCAATAAGATAAAAATTTGCTTTGCTTTTCAGTAGAATAAGAACATACTGTTGAATGGAAGTTTTATATTTTACAAGGCTGCAGCCTCTAGATTGAAAAAGAAATCACAAGGAATGGGAAAATGCAAGTCTCAGTAGATCTGTTAGGGGCTTAAGTTATTATAGATTATAAACGAGCATTTATTTCTCATAGCCATGCCATACAAATCAACCCCTCTGTCACTGGCTCATCCTGTGACTGGCTCATGGGTTAAAGAAGACTCAAGACCATTCAGGACCAGCAAGAAATATGCACTCACTCCTATGTGCACGAGCATGCACTCACGCACACACACATAAACACACACACACCCTCTTTTAGGAGCTTCTTATCATTTTAGGAGTAGGTATGACAGATCCTAAACTGACTTATTTCTTGGATCCTTGCTGAAAAAGTGGGCTGGATATAAACAGACTTATATGTGTTTTGAATGGAAATTTAAGTTAAGGGCCTTCTGTGGCACTCAGTGCCGGGTTGAGGAAACTGGCCTGGGTCTAGATGGCTGGAGTGGCATCTCTGCTATTGGTCCAGGAGAGGAGCTAGTCAGAATGGGAGAGCACAGCAAGAAAATGATGACGGGGACGTGGGTAGGCCCACACTTCCAGGGACATTAGAATGATCTGAAAGTTCTCAACTCCCAGTGAGGACAGGGATGGCTCTTTACTTGAGAGAACATCCCTGCTACAGGAAGAGGATTGTGGAAACTGGTCACTGTGCCTGATATGTAGCCTGAGGCAGAAGAGAGAGATGAGAGAGCTATGAGGTATTTCCAGAGTTCCTCTCTCAATAGCTTGTCCAGACCTGAGCAGCCTTCTACCCTATCTGGTCTGGTATTAGATATCTTCCCACACGCAAGGGAGGCAGAAGAATTGAGGGAATGGGGAAGCTGCCCATGAGAGCCTGACCAGAGCAGAACCAGGACTGAGAAGAGTTGCTAATACTTGCACCATATGCTTTGGCTTTAGGAAAAGATGAGCAGCCTAGATTCCATATCCATTTGATGCTTTATGTACAAAAGAAAAATGTTTTTTAGGTACTCGTCTGGCCCCTGAAAAATTGGATCCAATCATCAAAATTTTTATGACTTCTCTATAGATCTGATGGTCATGTTGGACAGAAAAGAAACTTCCACCAGAAGAGGAGTCACATTGGAGTGACTTGTACAAGAATTTTAGTGGTGGCTGGGAGGAGGGGTTGTCAGTGAACCTTATTTGTTCAAGGCCTAGTGTGATGGTCTGTAGGTAAGACATTCTGTGGGCTAAGTAGCAACTGGGGGTGGGGTGAGGGGAAGGTTTAGAATCCTCTGCAATGACAATGAAAAAAGAATATGAAGGGACACACAGCCTGTAAGGAAAGCTCTGTTAAATGTAAAGTGTGTTTGGGGGCGCCTGGTGGGCTCAGTCGGTTAAGCGGCTGCCTTCGGCTCAGGTCATGATCCCAGGGTCCTGGGATCAAGCCCCACATCAGGCTCCCTGCTCAGCGGGGAGTCTTCTTCTCCCTCTCCCTCTCCCTCTGCCTGCTGCTCTGCCTACTTGTACTCTCTGTCAAATAAATAAATAAAATCTTTAAAAAAAATTTTTAAAAAAGTGTAAAGTGTGTTTGAACAAGGGTTAGAAGGTAGTAAAGACCAACAAGAATCTCTCTCTTATTCCAGTGGTTGGTGTCAGATAATTTTTCTCTTTTCATTTATGTGTGTGCTGTATGTACACCTCCACACCATCACTGCCCAGTAACATTGTTCTGAGCATTATCACCTAAACACAGATGTGGAGGTGGACACTCCTCTTTCTTTGTTGTTTACAGATTTTAGGATCCTCATTTAGGCTCCCCTTTCTTAGCAGCATCAGGCGGCTGCTGGGTGGGAGGGAAGGGGGCAGACAGGGCCGGGCAGGAGGCTTTCCTGTGAGGCTGGGGCAGATGGTTGCCATGTAGTTGTGGTGGGAAGCGGGGTGTTGGCAGTAGACCCTCAGCCAGAAAACATCAGGAAACAAACAAGCCTTTCCCCCAAGAGGGTCCCATTTGGGAAATTAGAAAGAGAGAGCGAGAGAGAGAATATGGAATCACGATGGCCCTGTCTCCACGTGAATACTCAAGAGCCTGTACATTTTGCGCTTAGTTTGCCTCAAGAGTTCCTGAAACCCTAACTTTATATGGATAGTATTTGGGCTTTCACTGGCCTCCTAAACCTTTACAGGGAAATCACAGTGCAAACTCCCACATGCCGATTATATCCTCTGCTGATCCAAAGGGAGTGGCTGGCTTTCAGGGAAGGAGAGGAGTTGTCCGGGGCCACCCAGCTCATGCTCAGTGTCAAAGGGCTGCTGCTTCCTCAGTCAAGTGGGACGACCAAAGCTGAAATCCGGAGCATCCTCTTGAAGAATATTTTAAAGCACCTAAGCCCACAAAAGTCATTTTATCTAACTCCAAATAGCTCGGCAGTAGCTGAGAAGAGTTGGGAAAGGATGGGAACAGACCCATCTCCTCTGTTCACCTTACTTCTCCTTGCCTCCTTCTGGGAAGTGGGCCAGAAACTGAGCAACTGAGGCTTTTTAAAAAAGATGATTATCTTAGAGCGGGATTTTTTTTTTTTTTTTTTTTTTTTTTTTAGTGCAGTTTGCTCTTTATCTATTTTCAGCAGAGCAGAGTATGCAAAACTTTGCACATTCTCCCTGGAGCACAAATGTTTTCGCTGGCAACATGACAGACTGCATGCCTCTAATTGCACACCTTGGAAAGCCTGGGCCCCACATATTTCAATGGTTTCTGGTTCAGAAGCGTATAAATAGTAAGAAACCGATTTCCTTTATCCTGAATTCTAGGTCCTCAATAATTTGGCCTCAGTCCCTCCTGTTCCTCAGTGTCACACTGGTAGGCTCACCATCCTCTGGACTGGCCATGTGCACTTCGGCCTGTTGTCTTTGCCAGTGTCCTTTTCTGATCTTGCCAAGACCACCCATCCTAGTTTTCTCCCTTGATTCAAGGGAGGGCAAGTACCCCCAGATCACCTTCCCTGCACACTCTGCCTTCCCAGCTGCTGGAGGAGTTCCTATGCAGGGTCCTTCTTGGGGAAGATGGCTCTGGCTCTATCTTGGCTTCTAGCTCATCTCCATGGTTTCCCATCCCATCCTTTCACCCATCCCTCATCTAAAGCCCAGTCTCCACACCCTCCCCAAATCCAGCACCTCCCTTGAGAGTGTCTTAGCTGATTTTCTGAGTAAACCCCTTTTATAACAGTCCTGGAATTAGCAAAAGGCCCTAAGTGTGCTTTGGAACTTCTCTACTTTCTTGATTCTTACAATGAAGCCATGCTGGTAGTTCTGAAATCTCGTTACACAATTCTGTGTAATCTCAAAAAAAAAAAAAAAAAAAAAAAAAAAAAAAAAAAAAA